CCCCCTTCCCCTCCCCTCCCTCCCCCCCTTCCTCCTTTCCTTCTCTCTCTCCTTTGCAGGAACGACTCTTTGGGAACCTGGTCCACCCAGGGATGTAAAACTGTGCTTACCGATGCATCCCATACGAAATGCTTATGTGATCGTCTCTCTACCTTCGCCATTGGGGGAATCCAGTTTTAATGCAAAAGGCAATAGAGGGGGGGCTGCGGGGGGGCGGGGGGAGCTGGTCGAGCTTTGCTCTCAGGTATATTTCAGACGTTGCATTGAGGAATTGTTTAATACTGCAGGTAGGCAAATGTTAGTCTCCTGGTGTCTACAGTGGCTCAGAGCAATGAATTCCGGATTCTGTCATACAACTAAATCCTGGTGAAATGTGCACGGTTCTCCAACTCTGAATTTTACAGAGAAAGCCTTCTAATTGTGATGCAAATGTGTTGAAAACTTTTGTCTTGAACAATTATCAACTTAACAAGCTTTTTAAAGGTTGCAAGCCTTTCCAGGGGAATGTACAGGGCTTTATTACTGCTCTTGGTAGGAAAACCCTAGATACTGTAGTTAAACAGATTGCAGATCTGCATTGGGCATTTTCAGCACAGATTTTCTGTGTAGTCTGTTGATATGGTGTAAGAAAAATAATCAAGTTTTCATGAGAAAGAGGGGACATTAAGTGTATAAGCAGACACTCCCAGTATTATTGAGCGTAAAAACAGCTAAAAAGCAAATATTTGTGAAGTTATCCTGCTGAGGCATAATTTCATTTTCCTGGTTTTGAAAGCGTATGATCAGACTCTTTTTAATAGAAAAGTAGATCAGTTTTGAACAAAGTGGTCGAAATAAAATGCTACTTTCTGCTTCAGATCTGGCCTAAAAGTACACCAGTCTTATCTCCTATTTGGGTGACAAAAGATATTTTGATAAAATGTAATTCGCAATGCATCCTTGAGGCTTTAAAAAGCATTTTGGTAAACCAGGCAAACTTTTAGATCTAAATTTTTTTCCATTTGTGTTAGCAAATACCATGTCTGTTTCAGAACATGAGCACATATGCACATGGAAGAAAAACCTTACCTGATATCTGATGGTAATAGTTTCTTTACAGCAGGGAAAGCTAGTTTGTTTTCAAGGTCATTTATTTATTTTCATTTTTTATTAACACACAGAGTACAATTGAAATATTTCTAAATTTCCAGCTTCTGTACAGAAGGCTTATGATATTGTTGCCATAGATATCTTGCCATTCCTTCTAGACATTCAGAGGCCCAAGGAAATTAAGTGTGTGAGAATAGTGGATTGAAGTCAAAGTTATTAAAAGTCAGAAAGTTTGGTAATTCTGCAACAAGCATGAACCAAATTCTGGGAGAAACTACTGGACTATCTTTAATATATTACAGTGAAACTAAGCTGTTTGTTTAATACACAATTCTAAATATTGCTGTTTCTCAAGAGAAATATATATTTTAATGAATTTTAATTGGGCTGTAGTTGAAACTTATGCTAACATCATAGTCTCCTATTACATTGTAATCTTACTACTTTATTTTTCAAAATATTATGCAGGCATTATAAGGTGTTTTAAAGCTCAAAGGCCTCTGAGGAATGTAGCAGTAATTGAACAGATCTCAGAGTTATGTATGGATCAGTTTTGGAATTAAGTTGATTTCTGCTTCATAAGGAATATTACCAAAGCTATCTGTGACAGCGTGACTGCTTTTATCATTTTGATTTTATTGCTTTTTTTGTCTTTTTACTTGTTGTTTTAATTGCTGGAGGATGGTTTCCTTCATGGTTGTCTGTTGTAACCTACAGATCATGGAGTCATCTGGTACACCCTCAGTGACCTTAATAGTAGGCAGTGGTCTTTCATGCTTGGCCTTGATCACCCTAGCAGTTGTCTATGCAGCACTATGGAGGTATGTAATGGATTGACAAAGCGGAATGTGAATACATATTTAGTTGAATTAAAATTTAAAGAGTGCGTTAGATGCAACTTTTAATATTTGGAAAAGAAATAAAGAAAAAAAAAGCAAAATGTAGTGCATGTTTTGACTCCTAAATTTGTTGATGTGATTGATTAGTTTCACTCTCTTGGCCTACTGGTGATAGTATAGCCCACTCTTCTCTTTCCCCTCTCGAGTGTGAATGGTATAGCTCTTTTAGTGGGGTATTCATAGCGCTAATAAACATTTCACAGGATTCTTCTATATGATGTATTTTGTGTGAGGCCTATACCTTGGAATGCTTTTCCTCCATTTACATTTGAAAACAAAACTTCTATGTGGTAAAAATGACATATCAAGTGCCATATGAGTAATTGCAGATTTAGGGAGGTTCAGTCAACTGACTTTGAGTTTATCCACTTCTGTCAGAAGTTTCAATGAAGACCAAAATATGAAGTAGTTTCAAACAGTGTGGTGGTACATTCCAGTAACAGACTTTCTTTCTATCCTGAGTTTACTATATTAAAATATTAGATTGACTGAAAAGTGCAATAGATATTTATGGAGCAAATTAATTTGAGAGGTGATGGGAAATAGCATGATGTATTATTGTAGAAGAAATAGAAAGGTAGGAAAATCACGTGCAGTAATAATATTTTTTTAAAGTGAACGTGGGTTCTCATTTAACTTTTTTCCATAATAAAAGAAAAATAGGTTCTTGAGCAAGTAAGAACAAACACAAGGAGAAAATAACAATTTTTAGAGTAATGTAAAATCAACCAATAGAATTTTAATTTTAGAAGCAGCTTGATAATTTTACATGCTTTTCTCTTTCACTCTCTTATGCAGCCACAGAAACTCACAGGATTAGACATACATAAAATAAATATAGAGTATCTAGTTACATAAGTTATAATAAAAAGAGTATAAGAATTATCAGTTCTTGTCTGTCAAAACTAAGAATGAGAGTATTTCAGGATATAATTCCCATCTGAAGAATTATAGTGTTATTTTTGCACTCCCTGATATATTTAGCACTTGGATGGAAATACTGTCATGCTCAGTGGAACTGGTCTTCTCCATTATTTAGATTAAATATAAGGAAAAAAAAAAATTACTATGAGAGTAGTGAGACACTGGAACAGGTTGCCCGGAGAAGTTGTGGAAGTGTTGGATGGGACTTTGAGGAACCTGGTCTAGTGGAAGGTGTCCCTGCCCAGGGCAGGGGGGTTGGAACTAGGTGATATTTAAAGGTCCCTTTGGACCCAAACCAGTCTATGATTCTATGATGCTATGGTGCCATGACGCTATGATGCCATGATTCTACTATTCTGTGATTCTGTGATTCTACGATTCTATGATTACGGTAATTTCCAAGCTGAGAAAAAAAAAAAAAAAAAGTGTTGTGGACCTAATGTGGGTTCTGTATCCAGCTGAAGAAAAAATAACTCATATAGATCTCTGTGTTCTATCAGTGAGATATTTTGAAAGTATTATGACAAGTGAGTGGCTTGTCATTTGCACCATTAAAATTTGCCTTCAACGCGTTTCACAAGAGCATGTAGTAATCAACTATGGGGGGAAGATAGACACGGAAACTTATATGTATATATGCTTATTTTTATAAACCTAGGATCAGGGAGAAATTTGATATTTTGACCCTATGTCTGTATTTATATTTTGGAACACCCACCTTCCCTTTGAATGTCAAGGCCTGTTTATAAGTGATACAAGGTAGAGGTATTCTGGTCTGAAGAAGGCCTGTGTGAGCATTCTTTTATGGTTGATTGATTTGATCCCCCTGACTGAAAATTCCAACTGAAAAATAAATTTAGTGTCAGTCAAATATTCAGCCTTGCCTTGCCTTACCTTGCCCTGCCCTCTCCTCCCTTCTCCTCCCTTCTCCTCCCTTCTCCTCCCTTGCCTTGCCTTGCCTTGCCTTGCCTTCCCTTCCCTTCCCTTCCCATCATGGATAGTGAGCTGGCAGAAAAACTAAAACCTTCCCAGCTTAAGTCAATGCCATGAGCTCCTACTTGCACTGTATTTACTCAACCGCTAAGACCCCTTATAGCCCATAGATACTCAGTGTTGGGAACTGGCCCAGGTGAATCAATAGTTAACAAGTTAGAAAGTAGCAGCATGCTGACTGTGTAGACAAAGGGACTAGACTTTCTGTCTAAACTTTTTTGTTTGCAAACACATAGAACTAACCTGAACAATATTGTTACATTTTAAGGAAAGATGTGGTTTGTGATATCAGGATTGTTCTGTCTTCTTGACTCAAAAATGTAATGCTGTATTATTAATTGATAGCTGAGCAAAAAGGACTGCAATTCATTTCATGTCGGAAGCTCAGCATTCCTCATGAGTTCAGCACTCTCTGTTATGACCTCCTCAGAGGGTCAGCTATGGGCATACAGCTCAGGAGGAGACAGCAATATTAACTAAGCTCCAGTGAGAAGCATATAGTCATAAAATATATAAAAATATGGCATGGTCTTCAGAGGAACTGAGCACCCTTAACTTTCATTTACTTTAGTAGTCAACATTTACTCTGTTAACACCTCTGAAAATTGGGTCAGTAAGGTACTTCACTTGAAACCATAGTCGTTCTCTTTCTGTCCTATAGCATGTAAAAGACTGTAAATAGAAAAATAAGAACATTTGCATCTTGTAAGGAAATGACTGCTAAGAGTATTTGACTTCTTCATCCTAAACATACTTGTAAAATGAATATGATAAGTTTGCAAGAGAGACTGTGTGATGCTCACTGCTATAATTTAATCTTTCTGTACAAACTTAGCTATTTTTTGGCATAAAGTCTTATGAAGATTAAGATATTACGGTATTGTTGTTTCTTCATACAAATTATCTTGTCAATGTGGTGGAACTTCAAGATTAATGTTATCCTTATCCCAGTAACGTCTTTCAAAATGTACTATCATCAGCCAACCTGCATCTTATTTATGCATCGTGGACCAGATTTTCTGTTTATGTAAATCACCGTATTTTTGCTGAAGTTTGTTATTGTGAGTGGTCTGTGCCAGCTGTGGATATTCCCAGGGATGAGCAGAGAGCATAAGTTGTTCCTGACATGAATTCATGTGAGCCCATTATTGTCAGTACGGTGTTAGAACAGTGTTGCCAGCAGTTTTTAAAAGAAGCATTGATAGATTATTTTTAAAATATAGCAAGATACTAAGAGGGAATTGCAGAGTATCTATCAAAATATCATAGTTCCTATGCTTTTAATGTGGTAGCTCCCCGATACTCTTTTTGAGCACTTGAAAGAGAGCACTTACCTTTCAGAGTATCTCCAACAATTAGTGCAAGAATTGCATCAAAGCTTTGTATGACTTACCAGTTGTTTTCCTTTTAGAAAAGTTGTACCCTCTCTTTGTTTATTTGAACAGGTACATCAGATCTGAGAGGTCAATAATTCTAATCAATTTCTGCCTGTCTATTATCTCATCAAATATCCTTATCCTGGTTGGACAAACTCAGACGCATAACAAGGTATGATGGGTTGTATTAAATTTGCACTTAAATATTGATATCTTTGTTTTATTTGTGTTTAGCTTAAAATAATTACATCCATTTAGTCCTATACTCATAGGACTTAGCATTTTTGGTAAAATATTAACAGACAATGGAAAATGTTTACTGTCTTTCGTAGTGTTTTTTTCCCCTCCAACAATCCCTTTTGGTATTGTTCCCTCTGGATAAGCTGTGTTCTCTGTGGTAGACTTGTATGTTTTATAACTAAATTTCAAAGCAAAAAAGTTCAAAGACTCAACATCAAAAGCATAATTTCTGGTTCATTATAATAGTTGTAATAGGATTGTGCTACAGTGTTTTTGTCTTTTTATTAACACACTGGTACTCGAAAGGCAAGTAGAAATTGCTTAGAAGTTAGAGTACTACTCTTGAAAATGTGCAGAAATAGACGTCATAACAAGCTATGGAACTGTTACATCTCTGACTGATGTAGCTATAAGAAAGTAATAACCCTGCATACCTTACTTAGTGATATATTGCTGATTTATTACTAATGTGTTCTCAGACTCTTTCTGAACATAGTTGTTATTTGTCCCTCTCCTGCAAAACAGGGCTGTGTCAGTGTTTTGCGGCGTCACCCAGTGCCAAGTGATATTAGGCAACTTTCAGAAGTGACAATAAATGGTTGTTTAAAATTAATTATAGCTACATGATAGCTTAGAATAGAAAATAGGATGCAATTGGTGAAGAAGTCACATGAGAGAATGCCATTAAGTTTTGCAGTGAGCAAGTATCTGTAAAGTAATTCTTTATCCCACTGTGTTAAACTACTTAATGCACTGGTCATCTTAATTTTTCCAATATCTAATGAAATATGTTCATCATCTGCTAAAGGATAACTGGTGTTTCTACGACACACCTATAATTAATCATTTACTCTTTTCAAATGACTGCTCAGAAATTTAGCTGCCACAAGTCTCATAAATTCAATGCAAGTCACATAGCTGTACTTTGTAAAACATACCCAAAGTAAACAGTCATTTCCAACACATAATTTAACAAAAAACATTAAAATTAAGGTATTTATATGCTATAAAGTTTTGGAAGTATGTAGAGGTTCAAGCAAACAAAATATGGATTTGCAGAAGAAACCCATGTGATTCTTGCAGGTTTTATTTGGGGGGGGGGAGAAGGGGGGAAGTCAGAAATGGGCAAGCAACATCAGAGTACCAGAGTGCAGAAGAAGGATTAAGCCTCTCTAGAATTTCAGCACTAACATGCGTAGTCATATATACTATTTTATTATGTATTTCAAGAAGAGATATGGCTCAGTAGCTGAAAGTTCCTGTGTATATTGCCACTGTGGAATCAGGGTTTGAGGGCATCGGAATGACTGTGTTTGATAACATGCTCCCTAGGTATGCTGGCAGCCTTTCTCTGATGCTCGGGGAACTCTGAACTAAAACAGACCCTTAATCCAGTTCCTTTCTTTGAATCTTAATCTCCTTGAGCTCCCTCACTTCTGCTTCATGAACTCCTGAAAGTAGAGATATTGACTGATTTCTGAGAACAGCAGATCCTAAAAATGGAGGTGTTCAGAGGAAGTATTTGACAGAAAAAACAACACATCCCAAAGTTTACATTTTGAATATATGGCCTGAGAAATGACTCTAAAGTATCACTTTTTACTACACTTGGCTTCTTTTTGAGTCCACATCTTGCTTTTGATACACGTACCACCCGGGAGCTTCTAGCCAGGGAGTACCTCTAATGGATCAAAGGCAGAATACATTTTTTGTACCGAGGAAGATATTCCTTGATAGAGACCCAAAGTCTTTTTATCACTATGTCCACTGATATGCGAATATATTGTAGCTCCAAGAGGCTGATAAAGACAGTGTTTAGCAAAAAACATATTCAAATTAAAGCAGTCAGATTCAGGTTTGTCTTCAGATATTTGTAAGTAGGGATGTGTTTTAGCATTAGATGTGTTTGAATTCAAATTATGAATTTTTTATTTTCAAAGATCATATAAGACCAGAAGAAGCCAGTGTTTGATTTTTAGTCCATAGATCTGGGTTACAATACTGACAGCTGTAGGAAAAATCATGTTTTCGTTTTGCTGACCTGAAAAACTAAATCTGTAAATGGGAACTTTAGAAAGAAAATCAGGTCCGTCCCTATGGTTTCAGATGAAAAACATTTTGAACTTGTTTCTGAGATCTTATTATTTACTAGAGATCAAACCATTTGAGTTTTTAGTGTTTGTTTGAAAATTTTGGGAGAAATATTGGGAATATTTTATCAAGACAACATAATATTCAAGTCAGTAGAAATTGTTTCCTGAATAAAAGTTGAGATGGTGTTTTATAGCAAGGTCATGTTCTTTACTATATTGGAGAAAATTTGAGAAATATGACATGCCAAGTTTAAGAGTTTATTTACTCTGTTCTGTTCTCATTCTTCTGTCCATACTATTCTCCATACTATATTATTGGAGCACCAAGGTATTGTCCATATGATGCTGCTAATATTCACAACATTGAAGAATGCCCCTTTAGTCGGTTTCTCATGCTTTAGTTTGGTTTTGCTTCTGAGTTTCAATTGTCCCAAGCTCTACATTTGCATATTCCCTTCGAGAATAGGTGCTTGTAAATGTCGTCAAAGCTGAATTCCAGTTTAAAGTTGAACAGCGTGTAAATTAAGCATACCGAAGACATATTTATAACAAACAGCATATTGTCAGTCTGTTTGCAGTTTGCAGTTTTCTCTATCTGTATTAAACACTTTACTAACTACTTCTATTCATTTCAATGCTATTCAATCCCCAGGAAATTCCTGTGGGTCATTTTAGTACGCCCATTGACATCTGTGTCAAAGAAAAAAATATTGAGTTTCTGGGTCTGGATAAGTGCAGGTTTTCTGTTATTTTCTTTCTGTTTTATGTAAATTTAGATACTTAGCATGTTACGTTTAGCTCTACTATTTGAAGTTTGACTATATCCTTGATGTTTTTACACAAGCTTCTTTTAGTGAAGTCTAAGTGAGTTTTAATATCGCACTCTCTAAGTTCTGCCTTTTTTCAGTAAAAAAGATCATGGTATTTCCCACAGGCAGAAATGGACTAAATATTTACAAGGACATGTAGAAGTAGTTTAAATTCTTTCAAGCTACCATAGCTTTTCCATTATAATATACTCTGTTTAAAAGTGAATTTTTCTCCAGTTTCAGGAACTTGAGGATACCAACATTAGACCAGAGGTCTAGGTTGTGGGGCTTTTTAGCTTGTTTTAGAATATCTCGTGATGGGCGGCATGGAGGGGACTATGGTTTCTCTTGTAAGGTTTGGATTGGGATAGCAAAAAAAGGCTTTTGTCAACAGAAAAGCCTTGCTCCTTTATTCCTTCTTAGCGAAGCGCATTGTGCTTTTTATTGAAGGACACAGCTGAGAAATGTTTCGCTTTTTTCAGGATGTTTCCCCAAACCTCTCAAAATGCAGAACTTTGTTCAAAGCCTTCTTAATGTTTGACTGTGTAAGAGATTTCTGTTTTGTCAGATCCTGGTTTGAAATACAGGTCACTGAAGGCTGAATTTACAAGAATATTATGAAATTAATTATGTATCTTGTTTAAATATGCTCGGTGTTATACTAGGTATGAGAAGCATATTAATTTACTTTGGTATTTCTTTTTGTCTCTTGTTTTCTTTGCAGTATTAAATGTTAGCCACATAATCATATTTAAATTTGAGGATATGCAATTGATACACTGGAGATAGCCCTTTAACAGCTGAAATTAGTTGTAACATTGAAATTAAGTCTCCTAATTAAGAAAGGGTAACACTTGTCATGTATAACCTAACTGCTTAAATATCTGTTATTTCACAAATACTATGAGATGTCCCTAACATCTACAAAAGCATTACGTATTTACTTTGAAGAGACTGACAGTTTTCTTTGAGGAAACATCCTTCAGTGATTTGTAGGTTTCACTGTAATGTAACTCTTGCTATATTATGTTTCCTAATGTTCTTCTTGCCATCAAGAAAAATGGTTGCATTTCTTCTATATGTGGACCTTTAACGCTTAAGCTATAAATCTTTACTATGCTTCTGATCCCATTTAATGAATAGATTCTCTACCCCAAATAAGTTATTGATTAATATTATGTGTATTTTTCATAAATTGTCCTTCCTTTTGCATACATTCAGAAAATACTTTGTTTTTTTCACAGTTCTGCCTAAATAAAAACACACCAACTGTTTGATGTAAACAATTCTTGTTTACCTATTTTTCCTGTGAAGAAAACAAAACTGAATACAATTTAAAATAAATTATACATATGAGCAAAAGTTAATTATTTTCTATATTAGCTGTTTCCAAGTGTACTTAAGTTTGGGTCTCTTGTGAGGAATTTTAGAATTTTTAGAAATGTCATAAACCCCTGTACGTTTTGTTAGCCCTAGTCAGGTTTGTGTGTGTCTACCAAGGGAAGACTAGGGAAGATGTTAGGGCACAAGGCAAGATCTAGCAATGCTGATATTGTGTGTCATTCCTGTTTAGTTGCAAAATCCAGTTTATTATGCTTACTATTACATTTTGGAATTGGTCTCTTAGACCATACCTGAAAAGATATGAAAAAGGCAGGTCCTGACCATCTAAAGCACATAACATAAACAATCACTAGTTTTGCTAAATGCATTGTGAACAAGCAGAAAACCTGTACAGTTTTTTACATAATAAGATTAAAATGTTCACTAAATAGGCTGACTGGACAAAAATAACCCTGTTTTAGTCTTCTTTTTTTTTTTTTTTTTTTTTTTTTAATGGAGTTTCTAATCTGGAAGAAGCAAATAGAAGTGGAAAGGAGTTGAGAAGCCACAACACCCCTTTCCCACAGCACTCTGAAGCAGCTGACTGTGGCACTAGGGCTCCCTCAGGTTTTGAGAAATGGTGGGTGGCGGGATCCCCTGAGAACCCTGCAAACATTCAGGTGATACTAATGCCGCTAACTATGTGG